AATAAAGAAATGTATGTGTAAATATACTTGGTTAAGTGTAGAATCTCCAGAAACGACTTTTTTATGCAAGTGTAATGTAAACATACTTGGTGAAGTCACCCGACAGGAATAACGTTTTTTTTTTTTTTCATTTGTCATCGTTTTTCATCTTTTTTGTGTGTGCAAGCTTTTCCTGTCGTTTTTTTTCCGCTTAACATTATGCAATGGACAAATGGTAACGTATTCCACAGTCGAGTGTTGTCAGCGTGAATTACATGTCAAGTATGCATATCACTTTCTTATCATGCACGCGCGCCAGATAGAGCGTAATAACTTCGTATAGCATACATTATACGAAGTTATACGATACTTGACATGTAATTCACGCTGACAACACTCGATTGTGGAATACACTTCCATTTGTCCATTGCATAATGTTAAGCGGAAAAAACGACAGGAAAAGCTTGCACACACAAAAAAGATGAAAAACGATGACAAATGAAAAAAAAAAAACGTTATTTGTAATAACTTCGTATAGCATACATTATACGAAGTTATACGAAGTATGCATATCACTTTCTTATCATGCACGCGCGCCAGAGCGAGAGAGAGAGAGGGAGCGAGAGAGAGAGAACGAGAGAGAGTGAGAGAAATAACGAGAGTGAGAGAGAGGGAAAGAGAGAGAGAGAAGAGAAAAAGAAAGAGAGAGAGGGGGAGAGAGAGAGAGAGCGTCTGCAGTGTCGAGTCTATATTGATAAAGTTTATATCTATTTTTTGTGGGTAAGAATGATTATACGTGAATGATTATATGGATGAAATGAAGTGATTAGGAAGTACGATTAAGGAAAAAAAAATTCTTAATGGATATCAGAGAGAAAAGGATTTGGGGGAATTTAGGATCCGAGTCGGGGTAAAAATGGGGGAAAATCTGGATCAGAGGGAAAGAATTAGGGGAAATGAGGGCCAGAAAAAGAACAAAAAAAACATATGTGGGGATATTGTGGTTAGAGGGAAAGAATTGGGGGTAATGTGAGAGTCAGAAAGAAAGAAATGGAGGGGAAATGGGGAATCCACGAGATAAAGAACAAATAAATAAATAAATAAAATAGAAGCATAGGGGAAAATGGGTTAAGAGAGAAAAGAATTTAGGGGAAAATGGGAATCAGTCACTCTGTGGAGACAATGACGAAGAAATTTTCACGCGCCATAATATTATGTTTGATATTTCACAAGATATGAAGAAGAAAAGAAAGAAAAACGCACTTTCCCCGTAAAAAAAAAAAAAAAAAAAAAAAAAAATTGCAAACTTACCGTGCCGAAAACGGTATAATGAACCGAGTGAGAACTTCAGAATGAATTTAGTCATTAGTGTTTTTTATTGAGTAATTCGATTAAATTAATAACAGTTGATGATGGTTTGCATGATTGCAATCTTCTTTACACGTCAATATAGATTATTCTTTTTCTGGGGGGTGGGGGAGATACAAAATATTTGCTTTCACTATTGAAACACTATTACAAATGAATCCTTTTTGCTAAATATTGAGGTTTCTTTTTCACGCTCCTTTAAACAATATTCTTTGAGCTGTTACTCTTCGGCAAGAACTGATAGAACAAATCACCCTTAATAATGTATCATTCGTCAACAATCAACTTGCCAAAGCGTTAGATTTATTTTTTTACGGGTGCGTTAAGTATCTTTTAAACAAGAGTATCTATACGTCAATTGGTTTTCATCAAACGTAATACTGTAACACTGACATAGCTTCCGTTTCGAAAACTTATTAGACCTACTCTTCAATTCCCAATTTGGAGGATGAGTAACCAGAACTCACGATCATGGATTATTCATCTTTCAAGACAGTTTCTAAAATCGATTAATCCCCCGCCGGTAATTAACCGCCGTCTCCTTCACGCCCCGTGGGACCCGGAGGCGCATGCGCAGGGAGGGAGGGAGGGAGTCGACACTTTCACACTCGCCGTCTATATGAGCGCGGGCGGGCGAGCTCAACCTCAAACTGAGTCCCTCCCTCGACCAGCCATGATCATCCACAGGGTAGGTGCCGCCCTTGTGTTCATCGCCTTCCCCGAGCCTCGTGGGCCCTCGGAGAAATTCTCTTAAAGTGGTGTCTCCGGTTCTCGGGGTTCGGCTGAGTCGATGGGAGTTCGGTTCCTTTAGTGTGGTGTCTCTGTCTGTGGTTCGGGTTTGTTAGGAGTTCAGTGTGATTTAGATTCTGTTGTTGTGTGGGGTGGCGAGGATTTCGTGTAATGAGGCACTGGAGAAAATAAGTTGCTGGGATTGTATGTACTTAGTAGGGTTTTTTTTCCTTCGTCGTAAATGAGTGTCTGTAAATACGTTCTTTATTGTGATGCTTAAGTTAACCGAGCTGTTCGTGGCTGGCAGGGTAGCTTGAGGTAATGCTGTAGAAAATATAAATTGTTGATTAATAACGATAAATGTTAATTTTATTACTACGAATCGTTACTTTGGTGGAATCATTGTTTGAAGATATTTCATTAATCATCAACATCATTCTTATAACGATTACTATTTTACTATCCATTTTCTGTCAGCTAATATGAACGCATTAATTCATCACCATTCTTTATCTTTACGCAAGCTCCTTTCGTTATAAAACACGTGAAAAAAACAGCAGACAATAACGCAACTGCCGCCTTGGCTGACGAAACACGTTCAAACTGCCGCCTCGCATATTAACCTAATAACGACCGTCACGTGACCTCTCTTCTCCCCCTCTCCTCTCTCCTCTCTTTGCCGTCTTTATCTCTCTCCCTTCCCCCTTTCCCTCTTTTCCTTCCCTTCTTCCCCACTCCCTCTCTCTCCTTTCCCCTCTCATCTCCCCCTTTATCTCTCTCCTTTCCCCTCTCATCTCCCCCTTTATCTCTCCCCTTCCCCCACTGTGCGGAAACTATCGTGACGTCATCTTCCCTTCAAATCGTGGAAAAAATGTCACGCGTTAGCGGCCGAATGACAGTGTCTGAGAAAGCGTGAGTGACAGACGAGGGAAAAGGAGCTGGAGGGAAGATAGAACCGCGAAACAGCTCAGGCGTGATATATGAACCGCGAACAATTGCGTGCGGTTTGGGGGGGGAGGGGGGGAGGAGCGAAAATCGTTTTATTTTCTGAACTTGGACGTAGCTCGTTGGTCTCTCTCTTGCGTGTCTGAACGGGAGAATTTTGTAGGTTCGATGTCGTCTTCGAAGCGATATATGCATGATCATTAAACGAAATGTTATTTAGAAGAAAAAAATACAAATGACAGTTAAGTTAGATAAAATTTGTCTAATGCAAACTGCTTTTACTAAAATCCTATATGCTATCTAGATCTAAAATAATTTCTAATGGCGATATTTGAACAAAAGCTAATTTCCGTATCTACGCCATGGAGATATTGGCGTATGAATCTCACGTTTAAATACCTGATATCGTAAATTAAAAGCTGTCTCGTCGGGAGCGATACGATAGCCCGGGACTTCGACTACGTATCCATAATTGTAAAAAAGTTACGCGGAATATTTTGTAATCGTCAAACGTCTCTGTATTCCCCACACATTTTCTTAATCTATCTTAGAAATCAAAGACACAGATGATCTAACAAGAAAAGAAAAGAAAAAAAGAAGAATCTAGATTTACGACCCTGACCTTCCTGGCCAAAGTCTCGAGCCAGCACGAAGCGGATTCGAAGCGGCAGTCGAAGCCACGCCCCCGAAGGCTAAAAATAGAACACGGCGCTCTCGGTGCTGCGGTGAACAGCTGGCTTCGAGGCGCACCTGCCGAGGACTTTCACCCGCTGGAGATCGAGGCGACGCGGAGCGGGAAAGTTATTGGTGCAACAACCTCGGAATTCGGCGGCGGCGGCGGCGGCGGGGCGGGCGAAAGTGATAGGGATGTGCTGATGGCCTCGTCTTCGAATCTTTTGTGGAAGATGGGCGTGTTTGTATACACACACACATGCGTATACATTCGTACACACACGTACACACACATACATGCACACACACACACATATACGCACACAAACATACATGCGCACACACACACATATATGCACACACACATACATGCGCACACACACACGTATATACAGGGACATACTCCCGCCATATGCATTATTAGTCTAATCCTATTCGTTTGTTTTGTATTCACCGCACTGAAATCTTTTTCTAATACTTAGATTAAAATTGGTCTATAAATCCGAAATGAAAAGGATCCCAGTGCTTGGAAATACTACACGGATGATGCTAAAGCAGTCTCTCCCTCCAGATCCTCCTCCTCGCCCTGGTGGCCTCGGCAGCATGGGCTCACCCGCAGCGCCAGCGTCAGTCCCCGCTCTCGATGGGCATGCGCTTCCTGGGCAACATTCGCGACGGCGTCACCAAGACCTTCCAGGGAATCTTCGGCGGCGGAAACACCCGCCAGACGAAAGAACAGATCCAGGGTCGTCCCTTCCAGCAGCAGCTCGCGCCACGACCCCACCCCGGCCCCGTGCAGCCCCACGGCGCCCACGAGGTCGTCCATCACTCGAGCTCCCACACCACGGGGCCCCCCTCCTCGTTCTTCACCGTTGTGCACGAGGCCCCAGAGGCTTCAACCGCATTCCCAGACATCCAGGGCTTCACGGACGAAAGTTTCAAGCCCAGCACCTTCTTCAACGGCCACACTCCCTTCCAAGGCAAGGTCGAGGAGGAGGAGCTCCCCCTTGTTGTGAACGAGGTAGTGGTTAGTCGGCCTGAGACCAACGTATTCGCACGACCCCCGTCTTTCCTGGTCACCCACGACCCACAGGCTGACAAACATGTCCCTCCCTCCCACAACTCTCAGACGTCCACCTTCTCCTCCTTCGGGAAGTCCCCCCTGGACACCCCGATCCCCTTCGGTAATTCGGCAACATTTAGCCTAGGTAAGCTCAGGGATAGTTCCTCTGATCCCCCATCTCCCTTCCGTGATGCTGACGAGGACACAGATGCTCTCGGGCCTTCCTCCCACACCTCCGGCCACGGACCAAGACCCACTCCTTTCGTCCAGCGTCTGAAGCCCAGCGTAGGCTCTCCCGCCCGCGTTGAGCCCACCACACACCCGTTCGTTCACCGCCCACACCCAACTACCCGTCAGTTCCTCCAGCAAACACGGCCTACATCACGGCCACACTCCTCTCTCAAGACGAAGCCTTCCAGCACGTTCTTCAAGGCAAGCAACCCATTCAAAGCCTCGGAGGAAATCACAAAGGCTCCCAAGCACTCTTTTACCTCTTCGATCCCCGCCGAGCCCTCTTCAGTGGCCTTTAAGCCCATTGCCCCCTCCCCCTCCCCCTCCCCGACGCTCTTCCGCCACACGCCCTCCGATGTGGTTCGCCATGCCGCCCCCGCTCACGAAGTGAGGCCTCAGCGGGAAGCCTTTAAGAAACCGGTGACGCCCGCTAAGGTCGGCGGCGGCCACATCAACACCGGCACCAAGATGACCGTCGTCAGTACCCTGAACGAAGATGGCACTCAGGTAGATTGGTCGAAACGAATTTAAAATCTTTTTGAGCTGAATATAACATACTTGTGATGCAAACTTTATATATTACAGGACTCTTATCTTGTCGACACCTTTTGGGCATGCCTTTAAGCGGTTAAACAATTCCTCAGGCCACACAAGTCAAGGGCTACGAGTTCGGATACGGCGTGCTGGACGGCAACACCGGGAATCAGTTCTACCACGCGGAGAAGCGCGAGGAAGGACTGACCAAGGGATCCTACAAGATCCAGCTTCCCGACGGCCGCGTCCAGACCGTCACCTACGTGGCCGATGGCAACGGCTTCCACCCCAAGATCACCTACGAGGGCGAGGCGCAATACCCCAATGCCGAACCCGAAGACGCCGTTTAAAGACTCGGTGCATGAGAGACAATATTTATGACCTGTAGATCGTGACGACCAGACCCTTTCTCGCGACCTGCATGATGCGCGGACGAAAATTTCGGCCTAAACCAAAGAGAGAAAACGAACAGGATAGGGATACCAACCCACAGACGTCATCAGACGTGACCTGCATAGTGTGCTAACCTCTCAGTTATCCGGACTGAATCCAGCTGCACTTCGTATCAGCCTGAACCACGCATGGTGTAGGCCCCGCCATTGAAGGACTCGTGCATGTCGTCCTGAAGCATCGCAAAGGCTGCTAATGTTCCTGCTCCTTGCAGGCATTAAATGCAGGGCAGAGCAACTGATCCCCTGGCATTTAGTGTTGTTATTTTTCTTCATGTTATGTACATAATCGTTGTTCCTTTTCTTTTTATGTCCTCTCGCAGGCGATTGGATTAATTATTGTATGTTTTTTATAATAAAATTGATCTTAAAAGTCCTGGTTTCTCTAGCATAAACCTACACAAGAAATCTAAAGACGTCGGAGCATATAAAACAAATGAAAAAACTAACTGGGAAATCATTTTGCATGTACTTAAAACACTGGATTTACAAAATATACATTCCATGAAATCCTCACATATAAAACACTAGCAGTCAACAAGCCTGCGATTTAACCGATTATTTTGTCTCTTCAATCACTTTAGAAATCGAGTTTTGATCATAAAACCTGACAGGAAAATTCCTCTGAGCATACCGTAAAATTCCAATGTCTATTATATGCTATATTTAGTTTATGCAAAAACGTAATATATATAGGATCCCATTATCGCGATGTGTGAATCTCATTATATACACAAACAATGGAAATGGGTTCATACATATAAAAAATAAATGTAATTGTTATGCACCAGAAACTGTAAACTAACCTTATCATCTACACATGTTTACTAATGAGACACAAGCATCACCTATTCGTCCCATATTTTCTCTTTTACAAAATGAAGATGAAACACAACAGCCATTATTCTGAATATATCAGAAGTAAAACATTAATGACAAGACACCTGTTATCTCTCTTTAACGATGAATCTAGACTGTCCAAATCCGAACTGACCTGAGTCGAGAGTCCCTAAATCCACCAGTTATCAACGCGTTATCTGACACATATTTAATGATCTTTCACAATCGGGGAGGCATTCCTCCAAGTGCCTCGTCCCTCTCCCGGTTTATCTCGAGGAGAATTATCAACAGTGACGGCGGAGTGTCTCTCTCTCTCCTTGAGGGCTACTTGTCCACTCGATAGATGGCGTATTAGCTCCCCGACTCCCGCCCGTGTTCTGCGTCGGGAAAGCGGCTGTGGTTGTTGTCTGTCTGTGCCATGAGTGAGGTTCGGTGGTGAAAAAGGCGGTATGATGGAGATACTGTTTATGGTGAAAAGTTCGTCACTGTATATTTCCGTTCGAGAATGAGGTGAACTATTTTTCTCGAAATGTTCACCGGGTGACAAGCGAATGGATTTACAGAGAGTGCATTGCGTGTGATATATTCAGAAATAAAGGGATGCAATTTCAACAAGCTAGAAAAAAATTATTACGACAATATAACAGATAAAGTGAATGACAAACTGAAACTTCTGACTAATGATACAAACCCCATATATCATAAATACCTGAAAAAATATTAATCTGCCATTTTTCCTCGGACATTTTCTCAAACCAAGAAATTAATGAGAACACAAGAATCAAAACAGAATAACGCCACGAAGAAGGAATCCCCGTTGCAGAGATTGCAGAATCATCGTGTTCTTCTGCGAGGAAATTTATTACGAGCTTCGAGATAAGCAGCTGACTCTGAAATAAAGATCTTATCGGTTCGACGTTTTATTCGCTGAGGTAAGTGGTCATGAGGGCAAGTGGACACCTAGAAGCCTGCGCCTAAACAAAGCGTGTCATCGCGTCACAACACACAAACACACACACACACACACAAATATATATACATACACACACAAAAGCCGAATTTGACCGAGGATTTCAAGGAGGGCGAGAAAGATGCAGTCTTTTAGATAGCTTACGTGAACTGAATCATGTGTAAATACAGTGCAACTGGAAATAAACAGCAGAGATAAACCTCCTAGTAGCAGGAACTGAACATAGACGTGATATCAGGCACGCCAGAGAATCTAATGCTTGTTTTATTCATTTACGTGACGAAGGACATCAGTTAAATTGGAAAGACGCCAAAAGAAAGAAAAATAATTGAAGCCCTTCTAATCAGAAAATTGCCTAATTTGAAGATGAGTTTTGGCCAATGGAGGTTGGATGACCTTAACTCATCACTTGTTAGCAAAGACTTCCGCAGACTCTTCGACCTTGACCCTCCCCCTGAGACCTGATTCAGATCTTGTTCATTCTGTCTCTCTATCATGATATAATCAATATTCTCTCCTGGTATCCATTTCGGTTTTTGTCTGAAGAGGAAATCGTGAAGAGTTCGAAACGTCAACCTTATTTTCAATTCTCATTGTGGCTAGTTTCATATTATATATATATATATATATATTATATATATATATATATATATATATATATACACATACATATATATGAAAGATGGAATAATGCACTGGCCGCATTGATATCATGAACTTATAACCTCTCTGACAGGGATTCGAACCCCCACCGCCATTGCAAAGAAATCACAAGACGGGCACTCTATCCACTGATACACGACCCAACAAAAGAAGTGTGCAACTAGGAGCTTACTAGCATCCATAGACATTACCTACTCATACAGGAGTAAGGATAGCGAAGTTTTTACACGCACACTCCCTTTTAAGGATGCGGGCGAATCCTGATATAATATCTATGATTACGTGTGTGTGTGTGTATATATATATATATATATATATATATATATATTATTATATATATTATATATATATGTATATATATATACATACAATATATTATATATATATAATTATAAGTGTTATATACATATATACATACATATGCGTATATGTGATAACATGTATATACATACATATATACATATGTAATATATATTATATATATATATATATTATTATATATATATATATATATATATATATATATTATATATATAATGTGTGTGTGTGTGTGTGTGTATAATCTATATATATAAACATATGCATTCCTCTGGAATTTTCTTTGCCAATGCTTTTTGTCGGGTTATCCCCATTCCATAACTAATCATTGATAAAAGGAGCCGTTCTGATAAGATACGGAGTCCAAGTCACCGACCCTTGAGAGCGCCGTGTTGGTCATCTGCCGGCAGCGATGGTCACTTCAAGCCCTGTTCAATGATTAGCGGTCATATCAATTAAATATTCTTACTTCTGTTGATAGTTTTGAGCCATGCCTATTTTATTTTTCCGTCGTTATCATTGGCGTGGTTACTGCTATTTATTTATTATGATTATTGTTACTTTGATTAACATTATTATCTATAATAAGATTTACTTATATCTGTATTGACGATTATTCTGTAATATTCAAATTCTCAGTATTATATGAATCTAATGTTGCTGCTATCGTATAATGATTAATACTAGCATTAGCTTGCCTAGTATCATCATAATGGTAATCATAATTATTAAAGATGTCATTAGTGTTATCATCACTGTTCATATCATTATCATTACCACCATTATATCAATACATTTTTTAAGCTATAGAAATCTCATTATCGTTATCACCATCACTATTTTCAATATATTGAGGATAATTCAATGTCTCCATATATCATCGTTATAATATAAATTCTTTCAATTATCCACTACACTGTCTTCATCGTTGATTGAATAATTAAATCAATAAGCATGAATTAACATCAAGATCTTGACCCTAATATCGTCTTATCACTCTAAACATCTTTTATCTCGGAGATAAGACCTGCTCTCGATCTCTTAATTCTCGGATGGAGAAATTGTCATGTCAAAAGGTCATGTCGTTGGGAGGACCTTCGTTTGTTTGTTTGTATGCTGTTTTCTCGTGTTTGTCTGTTATTGTGTGGTTGTTTGTATGCCTGGATAGCTACATGTTTTGCTGTCTGTCGTGTGGTTGTTTGTGTGTGTGTGTGTCGTTGTGTGGTTGTTTGTTTGTTTGTCGTTGTGTGTTGTTTGTTTGTTCTGGTTGTTTGTTTGTTTGCCGTTGTGTGGTTGTTTGTCGTTGTGTGGTTGTTTTTTGTTTGTTGTGTTGTGTTGTTTGTTTGTCGTTGTGATTGTTGTTTGTTTGTCGTTATGGGTTGTCTGTCTGTTTGCCTACATGTTCTGTCTGTTTATTGTGTGACTTTATTTGTCTGTGTGATTGTTTATCTGTCAATGTCCTTGCGTGTTGTCTGTTCGCCAGCTTGTTTTTACCTTCATGGCTGTTTATGTGTCTCTCTGTATACCAGGTTGTTTGTCTATTTCCCTGTCTGTCTTTGTGTGATTGAGTGTCTGTCTGTTCGTCTGTCTGTCTGCTTGTATTTCTGTCTCTGTGTCTGCTTGCCTTCCGTGTCTCTGCGTCTGCCTATACCTGTGTGCTGTGTAGTGAAGCGGTAGCGTTCACGTCTGGCAATCCTGCTGACCCGCGTTCAAATCCCGCTCTGCCAGTGATGGTGACCCGGCTATTCCTTGCACACGGGGGGGGGGGGATTAGAAGCAAATCAACAGACAGGAAGTCATTGCAAAGATATAATCCAAATGGAATTAAGACAGTTACATTTATTATTATTACATTTATCATTACATTTATTATTATCATTACCTGTCTTTTTCCTGTACGGAGGGGTACTTTCTCCATCTCTCTCATTTATCCAAATTTTACTATACACGCATCCATCTCCCTATTTCCATTCCTCTTTCGAACTGGCGCCATCCACCTCCTTTCCCCACCAGATGGAGACCAAAGAGAGGGTACTCGATGGGGTCGACCGCCAGCCAAGGTCAGACTCCGAGCCTCGTCAGCGCCCCCTCCAGGAGGATGTCGGCGTCGTCCTCCGTCACGTCGAAGTCGAGGAAGATCTCCAGAATTGGTAACGTTGACATCTCGGCGAAGGGGAGGGGAGGGGAGGGGGGGGGGGATGGGGATGGGTGTGTGTGTGTGTGTGTGTGTGTGTGTGTGTGTGTGTTGTGTGTGTGTGTGTGTGTTGTGTGTGTGTGTGTGTGTCTGCGTGTGCGTGTGTGTGTGTGTGTGTGTGCATGTGTGTACGCGTGGCATGTCTGTGTGTCTACTTTCCCATGAAGTACAAAAACCTGTAAAGACATCTCTATCCATTTACAAACGCATAACCTCCACTAGACCCCAACCCCCAAACCCCCACACATCACATCCACCCACCACCTCACCTTCCCCCCACGCACCCCCTCCACCCCCACCCCCCACCAACGCCCCCGGTCCCCTCCACCTCAACCCCCCCCCTCCCTTCCACCTGCAGAGATGGTGAACATGCCAGGGGGGGCGATGGTGCTGGAGGTGGACGAGCGGGACGACGACGCCGTGTCCATCCTGAGCCGACGGGACAGCCTCTCCGGAGCTCGCACGGTCGGGGGCGTCGCTCCCTTGCCCGACACCGCCTACTTCGATAAGAAAATTAAGATCGAGATGGTAAGTTGACCATTTGCGTCACAAAATAGTCGCATTAGTGACGTAGGTCAGCGATGTCTTGTAATTTCGCATTACATGTCTTGAGTATTATAATAATGATCCTATAACATGGCTTCCTATCATTTCTTAAACACACTGAATTAGATGTACCAGTAACATGCAGTCATCCGGTACACATTGCAAAGGCTCATCTAAACAGCCATGAACACATAAAACGGAAATCAACATGGGAATCCCCGGGCACAGGCTCACCACAGTCCGGCCGTCGGGAGCAAGCCAGGGGAAGATTCCGGCGACGAAGGCGAAGGAGACACGCCTTGGACGCCGTGAACGAGGAGAGCAAGAAGGACAAAGACCCCCTCCTGACCTACGGCCTCTCCAACGTCCTCAACCACCTGTGTCTCGCGCTGGCCTCTCCCGCCTTCTTCAGGTTGCCAGCGCTCGCCTACAAGTGGGGCAGCCGATGGCTGTGCGTCGCTGAGTGTCTTTTGTTGTTGTTGAAATCCGAATTGGTGGGATGGCATGAGGTTTGGATTCAGGATCAGGATTATTGGCATGTGGTATTTTACGGATGGCATTTGCTCTCTTGGTTCTCAATTTTTATTTAGTAATGTATGTATTCCCGTGTGTTCATATTGATTCTGAAGAAGCACAGACGTTTGCACAAGCACGGAAAAATATACCAATTCACCAATACAAACGAGCATTAACCTTTATACAGGATACAAGCCGAAAACTGCAAATAAAACAACGATGGGGAAGAACAAGAAACATTCATGTATTTTCTTGTTCTTTCCTTTTGTGTTTATTTACAGAGCATCAATCTACGCGCGAGAGACGCCACAGAAAACGGACACTCACCTCCACGCCGTTTTCTTTCCAGCTGGCTTCCTCTTGGCGTACTGCATCACGCTCCTTGTGGTGGCTCTTCCGACCAGCGTTCTCGAGCTCACGATGGCCCAGTTCTCGTCCTGGGCACCGTGACCATCTTCAGGTGTCTTCCCGTCTCACTGGTTAGTCTTCCTCTTCTAGTCAAAGGCTTATTTTGTTTAAACGAGCTGCTTGACTCAATACCCATTTGGCGTGTTACTTCCCTCATAGTCAACAAGGCTCATCACTCTGATCCTTAATTCACTATACCTTTTGTGTGTTTCTAAAGATCCCGAAGAGCTCATCACGCTTTTATGAAACTGCAGTTCTTTTTTTCGTTAAGTAACGATTTGTAAAGAAAGTCGCGTCACTTCAGCATAGTTCTCGTTACAACACAGGTGTGGGCATGGCATGGTGGCGCCTGCAGCGTCCTCATGGTTTACACAAGCACCGTCTTCACCTGGAGTACGCTCTACCTCTTTGACTGCATGCACAAGAAGCTGCCCTGGGAAAACTGCCGAATGGAACGAAATATTGCATGGAACAGAAGACCTTCCTAAACGCCTCGAATGCCACAGACGTGACAAAGTACTTTCCCAGTGATTTCTACTTTCTGTAAGTATTCCGGTGCAAGGAGCCAAGTATTCGATATTGTCTTTTTTCAGACTTCAGATGGCCAGAACAGATAACCTGCAGATCAGATGAATGAACGATTGGACAAATAAATGAATAAATAATGAGCAAAGTAGATAATTACATACACATAAAATAAGTAATTAAATAGATAAGATAGACCTAACTTACACCTATGTCTCTCCCCTTCCCTCCTTCCTCCCCAAGAGATAACGTGGCGCAGGTGTTCGAGCCCCGAGACGCCCTCTCCCCGAACTTATCTCTGGCTCTCATCCAGCTGTTCCTGTGGCTCGCCCTCGTGTTCCTCGTGTCGCGGCGGAACGTGTGGCAGAGCGGGATATTCAGCAAGGCGATGGCCCTCCTGACCCTGGCCATGCTGGTGGCCATGGTGGCGGTGGGTCTGACCTTTAGGGAGAGCGGAGCGGGTCTCTATGCCGTCTTTAAGGTGCGGCCGAGCAATCTGGCGAAACCGGACATTTGGGTGGATGCTTTGGGGCAGGTGAGAGGACGGATCCGTAGGCTGTGCTGTTAATAATATCACGGATTTATTTCCTGCATAAGGCTCTTCTTAACTAAATGGCAAGAGTATTTATCCCTGTCTCTATCTGGTCAATACTATCAAAATCGCATTTTTTTTTCAATTATTACGATCTTTTAAATTGAACACAAGTAGAGCGAGTTCCATGCTTTTTCCCCTGTCTCCCTCAAGACATTCATTAAAATCATTATCTATCATTACGCATTTATTACCGTTATTTCTGTCTCTCTCAGGCACTGTGGACACTAGGCCCTACTCTTGGCATCCTCATCTCCAGAGCCAGCTATAAACGCTTCAGGGAGAGGGTGAGGCCATAATCCTGGCGGCAAAGTTTCCATCACTTTATTATCATTTTCTGTATATCTTTATCTATGATATATTATTACAACATATATCAGTTTGTCTAAATTCTGTTACAACGACCTGTTCTTTCGTACAATACTAACAAACGACCCATTTCTTACGTACACACTGACAAACGACCCTGTTCTTTCGTACATTACTGACAATCTTTTTCTTTCATATAATACAGACAAACGACCAATTTCTTTCGTACAATACTAACAAACAGCCCTTTGCTTCATACAGTACAGACAAACGATCCACCTCTTCGTACATTACTGACAGACTCCCCATTTCTTTTCAGACACTACTAACAAACAACCCTTTTCTTTCATAAAATACTACAAACTGCCCATTTCTTCGGACACTACTAACAAACAACCCTTTTCTTTCATAAAATA